AACAAAGACAATTATTTACAATTACTAAAGAAGTGGAAGAAGAGGGAGTTAGAAGTTGAAACTCATATCTCCCAGCGGTGTTCCCACTTGGGGACAGAGTGCAACCACTTCGTTCATGATGTGGAGAAATTTTTTTTATATTTCTTTTAATAGAAAAGTAGATCTAACAAAAAATTAAGTTGCTAACAATTTGGGGGCTCTATATAAAAACAAAGAAGAAGAATCTTAATTTTAATATTAATTAAACAGCCTTTCGTAAAAACCCAATAAATGAGAGATGGACTAAGTTTTACTTCATGGGCTTATTAGGGAAATTAGAATTTAGCTGCCTGTGTTTTTGAGTTGGTACATCTAAAAATTTATAATTTAAAATATTCATATGACATATTTTTAATTTAAAATTACTGTATATAAAAATTTAAGATTTCAAATTATATACAAAAACACTTAAAGTTTGCACTAGTTATACATAACCAACAATTATAACATGAAATGTTTTAAATACTACTATTTTCTTTTCCTTTTCATTTTCCTAAGTTAGAGGACTTTAAAACATTTTAGGAATTTCAAATGGTTATTTGTACTTAATACAAACCTCATGTATTTATGAATAAACACCCAAAACCACATATATGTTATATGATTATTTTAAAATCTCAAGTTTTATATGCACCAACTTAAAAACGTAAGGAACTAAATTGCAATTTTCCCTACTTGCTTTTATCATGTGGGAGTATCGGGACCCTGGATAGGCTTTTAACCAACTGGGCTATAAGCCCAAATGAGGCCCCACTTCCGTAAGCACTATCATTCTTTACTCATCTGTATGCAAGGATTCTGTTACAATACTTAGATATAATAATAATAATAATCACCTTAGAAGTAAAAGTGTTGTGATGTAATATGTCATATGTCATATTATGTTATAATTATAACTTAAAAGATTAGATTCATTAATAAATAAGTGTTATTTTATATACTAAGTTCAGAATTCAAGTTTTAAGGTCAGTATTCAAAAAAATTAATTTCTTTAAATACATTAGATCGATGTGGGGAGTGTGTTCTTAAAATTGCCTAAGGAATAGTCTTGAGGTTCACAAAAGTTAACCCAAGAACACCCTAACCGTAAATATCAAAAAAAAAAAAAGTTATTTTATAACATAAGGTTTTTTTATAACTTTCATTATCTCAAAAATATACAAATTATTAACTAGAATAATAAAACAAATTTATATTTTTAGATAATTTATTGTGTGGAAAAAATGTCTGTGCGAAGTATAATCAAATGAAGCCTAAGATTTCAAGGATTAAAATAAATTTTCTTTCTTCTAAAATGTTAATAATCATAGGATCTGATTTAGGATTCTTCATCTTGCAAGTAGTTACAAAATTTTTAAAAATATATTTTTCATAATTGAGAGATAAAAAAATGTAAAAAATAATTTAAAGATTAAAATTATTCAAAATTTAAAAATTAGAGACTAAACTTGGCATTAAAAACCATGATATATATGGTCATCTAAATCTTCACATATAGGCTCAGATTCTAAGGATCAAACTTTTTCCCTCTTTTAGAAGGTTAATAATTCTAGGATTTGAAAAATAATTAAGTTATTTTGTAAG